AAAAGGGCCCCGGGGGGAAAAAAAACCGGGGGGGCCCCCCCCCCCCCCCCCCCCCCCCCCGGCCCCCCCCCCCCCCCCCCTAAACCCCCGCCCCCCCCCCCCTTTCACCCCCCCCCCCCCCTCCCCCCTCGCCAGTGTCGACGTCGAGGCCCTCTGAGTAGGCGGCGGCGGCGCCCTCATAGTCGCCCTCGCAATAGCAGCTGTTGCCCCGAGCCCGCGCGTGCAAGCCGGCACGCAAGCCGCGCAAGTACGCGGCGGCGCGCTCGTCGGCGGGGCGGTCCTTCACGAGGGAGCGAAGCGCCTGCCGGGGGGGGGGGGGGGACTGCATCCCCCATCGGGCAGGAATTGTCCAGGAAAGGTCCGCCGGGGGGGGCTCCTCCTCCGCCTCCGCCGGGTTGCCGCGCAACGAGAGCAGCCTCGCGTGGGCGAGCCGGAGGGGTGCGAGCTCCTCCTCCTGCTCACAGACGCCAGCGCGTAGAAGAGCAGTCTGCCGGACGGGGGCGGGGCCGCACGCGGGCTCCTCTGCCTCGCCGCCTCTATGGCCGCCTCTCCAAGCCTCTATGGCCGCCTCGGCCTCGCACTGCGCCTGGGGGCGTGGCATGGGAGCGAAGAAGCGTCGACGTCTCTGGCGTGCCTGCGCGTGCCTCCCCCCTGGTGGACGCGCCTCCCCTGGGACCCGGCGTTGCCTGGGACCCGGCGTTGCCTGTTCTCGACTTGAGTGTGTGGCAGTGTGTGCCTGGGTGTGCCTGGATGTGCCACACGACCCACCCAGGCCAGTGTGTGTGCCAGTGTGTGCCAGTGTGTGTGCCTGGGTGGCCTCGACTGGTGTGAGGCCTGAGTGTGTGGCCTGGGCCCCGGGGTCGTGTCTTCTGCATGGACGCGCCTCCCACATGCGCCCGGCACGCTCAAGAATGTCGAGGACGAGCGCGGCGCCTAAAAGGTTCCGAGGGGGTTCCGAGGGGGCTCCGGGAGGGTTCCGGGAGGGTTCCGAGAAGGGACGGGCTCGGCGCCTGCTTGCAAGGCGCGCGCAGTGAGGTGCGTGCGGCTTCCGCGTCCCGGAAGCGGAGGCGTCTCGACGGCCGACGGAGCCGTGCGGGCACTCTCTCGCCACGCTTCGCGCCAGGTAGAGCGCCTCGTCCGCCCGGCCTCGTCTACTCGCGAGCGGCGACATTCGTGTCAACCTCTGCCGTGCTCGGGCCGGCGGGAGGGGACGGGACCGCACTGGGAGAGCGCGCGAGCCCTCGCAATGTGGCTCAGCAGCCTGTTCGCCTTGGAGCGGCCCTCCGCGGCGGCCGAGCAGGGCTGCACCGCCGCCTCGCCACCGCAGAGCCGCTGCACCCCTGCGTGAAGGGGGGGCGTGGGGGGCGGGGGGCAAGGGGTGAGCGTGGGGTGGGGGTGGGTGGGGGGTGGGGCGTGGGGGGGGTGGGGGGTTGGGGTTGGGGCGCGGGGCGGCGCGGGGGGTGGGCGGGCGGTCGAACCTGGATGGGGCGGCGCTTGCGGATCGGAGGGGGGCGCCCAGCGAGGCTCGAAAGAGGCCGCGCCGCGACATGCCGCCGCCTCAGCCTTCTCGATCGCGAGCGCCGCGTCAAAGTGCGCCGCCGCGTCTCCGACCCGGCCGAGCAGCAAGCAGGCTCTGCCGGCACGCAACCGCGCCTTGGCCGCAACGGCCCCGCCCGCGCAAGCTGGCCCCTCGGCGAGCAGCGGCGCGAGACACGCAAGGGCCTCGGCCGGCCGGGGCGGCGAGGTCGTGAGACAGCACGCTGCGAGGTTGGCGCGGGCGAGCGGGTCTTCGGGCCGCGCCTCGAGCGCTCGCCCGTACCAACGCCGCGCGGCGCCGAGGTCGCGCCGCTCGAACGCGGCGTTTCCGCGTCGTCGGCAGAGCTCCGCCTGGTCCTCTTGCGCACCGCCCGCGTACGCAGCTCGGGCGCGCTCCGCCGCGACAGCACCGTGACCCTCGTCGACTTCGCCGGCTGTAGCACGCTCGACCGGCGGCAGTGAAGATGGAGCATGCGGAGAAGGAGGAGGAGGAGGTGCGGCGGCGTGGGGAGCAGCAGTAGGGGGTGCAGGCCGCGCCGCCACCGCCTCGTCCGCGCTGGCGTACGTGCAGCCGTGCGCGTGCAGGTCACCGGCAGCCGTCGACTCGAGGCTGCTCGCCACGATTGCGCTCCAGAAGCCGTCGGCCTGCTGGGCATTCGCGCCGTCGCCTTGGCGCCCGCCGCCGCCGCCGCCGCCACCGTGCTCGCTGCCTTGGGCTGCACTGCCGGCCACCGGCTGCGCGAGGCTCGAGCGCAGCACCGCAACGGCCCGCTGACGGTGCCCGACTTTCAGCACGCCAGCCTGCTTGAGCAGGTCAGCGAGAGCGCGGTCGGTCGGCTGGGAGAGGAGCGCCGCACTCTGCCCGCAGATCGCCGCGGCGTACGCGCCCAAACCCTCGGCCTCGAGCGCGTCGTGGAGGCTTGTTGTGGGCTGCACTGGGCGCATTCTGGTGGAAATTTTTCCTTTTGAGAGCGCCTTCGTTGTTAATAGTACAAACCCAATGGTCCTCTGCGAGCGGTCCTTCGTTGCAGACGCACACACGCACACGCCGCGCCGCACCGCGCGCCCGCCCACCGCCCCGCCCAGGCGGGAAAGAGGTGGGGAGATGGGACAGCGAAGGAGGAGTACGAGCACGTATGGGAGGGTTCAGTAATGCGCCACGCTGCCCGGCGTTTCTCACTTTCCGGGACAGCCCCGCCCTTGTGAGGCAGGAAAGTGACGGCTACCCCGTACGCGCCTGCTGCTCTACTCGTCGCCGACCGCCCATTCCCCCCTCCTCGTTCCCCCCTCGAATGCTCCGGACCCCGACAAGCCGCCCGACGTTGGGCCTCTGCCCCGCACGCCCCCGCCCCTCGCTCACACCCCGGCCCGACACGCACTCTGCCCCGCACGCCCCCGCCCCTTCTGCCCCTCGCCCACACCCCGGCCCGACACGCACATACAAGACAAACCCGGCGTCCTGCTCTCAAAAGAAAAAGAAAAAAGGGAATGAGGAGACCAGCGGGGGAGACTCCCCGCCTAAGCGAGGAGCAGAGAGACGACGAGTGACATGCTGATTCGGCAATCAAGAGTTTTTTTTCTTTTTACTCCGGGTATTTTTGAGACCTCAAAAGAATTTCACAAGATCAAAAGACCCCACACACGGTCCCCTCCCCCCTCAAGGGCGAGGACACGCACAGGCCGCACCTCTAGTGAGGCCCGCATAGTATGTGGGAGACTCGTGCCGCCGCCCCTGCCACCCCTGTGTCAGTGTGCCTGTGGTAGGAGAGACTGCCAGCGACAAGCTGGAGGCAGGTCGCTAGACTGAGATGAGACCGCCAGTGGATGTGGGAGTCCACCGCGCACCGCGCTGCGAGCCTGTCGTGTCCCTTGTCAGGAGCAGGAGAGCCCCACCTGTCCCCCTGATCGTTCTTCCAAAATCCTGCTCGTGCAGGTGGGGACCCTGTCCTCGTCCCATCCCTCGTTTGGCGTGTCTGTTTTCTTTCTTTCTTTTACGGTCTCGTCCGTGCCTTGCGGCTGGCGGCGAGATGGCTAGAGGTGGAGCAAGCTGCTCTAGCCTCGGATGTCACTTCCTGTCGTCTGGCGACCGTGAGGGCGCCCGTACTTGGCCCGGCCAGGGCGTGCTTGCACCACTCGTCAAAGTCGTGACCGCACGCCTGCTTGAGAGCCGCTGCCGCCTCGCCGAGAGTCGACTTGGAAGCGTGGCGCGAGTGGAGGACCCTCGCCAGGAGCGGCCGCAGCCGCTCGCCGCTCCGCCCTTGTTCCTGCTCCGCGTCGGCGTGCCCGCTACCTGCGCCCATGCCGAGCCTCAACCAGAAAGAGCCGTCGAAGAGCCGTCGAGCTACATGAGACCCATGATGTACCAGAAAACGAAACTAGCGCCAAAATTGAGATCTCAGGATCGACATTAATTTCTCGCGCCTACTTTCGCTGCTTTAGGCTCGCCAAATAGGTCCAGACTCTATGGCCGTGTGCAACGTCAAGTCGTGAACCGCGACAAGACCATCGCGCCAAGCGCGACTCTGTTGCTTTATGCGGCAGCATTCACCGTGACTCTTGCCGTGGATGGTGAGTGCCGCGGTTGCTTACGCAGTACTACGCCGTGAACTGAGCTTCACCAGCTGTTTCTCTTCCTTCCCTTGCCTTCTCTTGCCGTCCGTTCTCTGTGCGCATTCCACTGCATGCGGCATCACACGCGTCTTCGCCGGTCGCGCATCTGAACTCGTACCAGGTACTCGAGTAGGCCATCGCTTTGCTGAGAGAGATCAGGCGCCTGAATGGCGACAGTGGGCGTCTCCTACTTATGGATTGCGCTCGAGGTCCGAGGAGCGCAAGAGCGCGCCGCAGGCGAAGCGATTTTTGGCGGCAGGGCTCTTCCAGTTTATTTATCTTATGATCACGGCGCGAGCCTGTGAATAGGCCCCGGAGGCCTCAACCCCCAACTAAAGGGTTGACGGGGGGTCTCAACCGTCAACCAGATGGTTGAGGGGGCCCCCTCAACGTTCAGCCCCTCAACCACCGCTCTGGCCGAGGCCCCCCCTCCCAAGTAAGCTAAAACAAAGAGGCGTCGACGGGCTCCGCCGGGGGCCGCGCGTGTGTGTATGCCCCCTATCTTTGAGGGCGCGCACTCGCCCATGGCCCCTCCAGTGCTGCCGGGACCCCCCAATGGCATCCAGCTCGACTCCCTCGATCCCGACGTCGACGGGGACGGCAAGGTGTCCGCGCTCGAGAGGAAGCTCCACGGCAAACTCAGGGCTGCCGATCGTGATGCGAACGGCGTCCTCGATGTGCGCGAGTTTTATGCGGTGCTCTTCTCCTTCATTGAGGTGGAGAAGAAGAAGCGGATGTATCAGAGGACGGCGCTGTTCTTCCTTGGCCTCTCCATCCTCTTGGCAGGCACGACGCTTGGCAGCAGCACGGCAGCGGCGCTGCTCGCCAAGGACCAGTGCGTCGCCATCCCCACACACCCGCAACAGCCTGGTCACAAGGCGGGGCTTCGCTCTCAAGATTCTTACTACCTCTCCGCATGCCGCCGCGCCAGGTACGTCGAGAGGCCGTCGGGCGGCGATCACCCCCTCGTGACGGATGAGTCCGGCGCCGTCCTCGCGGCCGCAAGGGCTGAGACGAAGCTCCCACTCGCCGTTACGCCGATGGCGCGGCTGGCGACGGTCGATCGACTCGAGCTATCGTACACGAGCGAGCGCTCGGCGGCGGAAGACGGCAAAGTGAACGCTTCGTATTCTGTCATTGGCGTCGAGGTGTTCTCGAATACCAGCGCCGCCTTCACGCTGGCCACCGGCGGAACCGTGGTCCTGGAGGGCGTGCTCGCCACGTACATTGACAGTGGCGGCACGTCACGCCGCGTCTGCGCATCGGACATCACGTGCTCAGCCTTCAGCGTATCAGACCCGGTCGACGCGCAGATTCTGATCCAGCGGGCGGAGGACGCCCTGTCTGACCTGCACGAGGCCGAAGGGGAAAGGCGCCGGCTGTCGTACAGCGAGTACCAAGGGTACGAGGACCAACAGTGCAGCGGCACACAGATGTACGAGGTTTCAAAGAGAACGAGGGCCTTGTGCAGAGACTGGTGCGAACGGAAGGCCGAGGAAAAGTGCTACACGCAGAGCTTCTGCTGTGGCTACAAGACAGGGGCCGGCTCAAGCTACACGACAGGGGCCGGCTCAAACAAGAAGAAGTGCCGGGTGTACCAGGACGGCGATGTTGGAACGACGGGCGATTCCAATTGGAAGGCGTACATCTACTCCGCCACGCCGCCACCCTCGCCACCTCCGCCCTCGCCACCTCCGCTTACTCCATCACCCCCGACGCTCCCATCGCCGCCATCGCCGCCTCATGCATATAAGAGGGGCGGGTATGGAAATGGCAACTGTCCAGGTGGTGGGTATCTACCCATCACTTCGAAAGCCCAGTGCCAAACTGCAGTCGAATATCTCAGCCTGATGTGCACATACGGGTGTACAGTTTCAAGTGTGAGGCGAACGAACATGCGGCTTGGCTGCATTTATCAGAACTATGGAGACGGAATGGCCTTCTTCAATAAGTATGAAATGTACAGCGGCGGCCTGAATGGCTATCAAGCCACGATTTGCTGCTTCGACACAGGAGATGGTTCTTGCGACTAATCCTATTCTTGATTCGGCGGCCGCTGCAACGAACAAGGCGCGGGAGGCGGCCTAGCCCGCGCGCAAGGACTGTGCTGGAATCAAGCTGCTGTACGGCCCCGGCATCGCCTTCCCAGGCTTAGCTAGACTGAGAGATATTGTGCATACGGTCTGTCTCTACAATATATACACTGACATTGAACCTCCCAGAGCTCGTCCCGGTCCGTCACGGCCATCCTCGGCCTCCGCGTCCGGAGGGAGGGAGGGCCCCCGACCGCGGCGCGGTGCGGCGGCGTCACAAATCCGACCACAGAGCACCGGGACGCGGTCGGGCGATCTGAGGCCCAAGTAGGCGGATGCATTGCCCATCCAGGGCTATCACCTCCTTGCTCAGGAGCTGCTGCTCCAACCTGTTCACACCTCCCGGAGGGGCGCAGAGAAGGCGAGGTGGTGCGCTGAGTCCTGAGAGGCTGGAGCGTCCGCGTGTGACCTTGTCGCGATGCAAGTGCCCCTCGACCGCGCCAACGCGCTGTTCGTCGACGAGGACTTTGACGGCGCGCTGGCGCAGTACAACGCCGCCGTCGCGGCCGAGCCGGACAGCGGCGAAGCGCTCGCCAAGCGCGCTGCGTGCAACCTCAAGCTCGGCCGGCACCGCGCCGCGGCGAGCGACGCCGCCGCCGCAGTGGCGCTGCAGCCGAGCGCACGCGCCCACCGCTGGGCCGGCCTCGCCCACTTTGCGCTGCAGGAGTGGACCGCTGCCCGCTCTGCCTTTGCTGCGGCGCTCTTGCTCTCGGGCGGCGGCGGCGAGGCGGGCGGAGGAGCGGCCGAGCTGCGTCGGTGGGTGCGCAAGGCGGACGCGGAGCTGGCCGAGGCGGCGGCGGGCGTCGGCAGCGGCGCAACCACCAGCGGCGCGAGCGACCCCGCTCCCAACCCCGCGGCACCTCCAGCGAGTGCTGTGGCGGCGGAGAAGCCGACGGCGGCGGCGCCGCCGCCGCCGGACGTGAGCAAAGTGCGGCACGAGTGGTACCAGACGCAGTCGCACGTCGTCGTCTCGGTGCTCGCACGAAACGTGCCACCCGACGCCGCTGCGGTCTCTTTCGCTGACGCGGCCGCGGACGTGGCCATCGAGCTTGGACCTGATGCAGGTACCTACCGATTAGCTTCTTCCTGGAGCGAAGGTGTGACGAGCTCTGTTCACACCTTGAGACTGTGAACAGGCACCTACCGCCTAGCGCTCAGCCTCTTTGCGCGCGTCCGACCGGACGGCTGCTCCTTCCGTGTCATGCCGGTGACGAGCCAGATCACTCGCGATCCCCCGAGATCACTCGAGATCACTCGAGATCACCCGAGATCACTCGAGATCACTCGAGATCACTCGAGATCACTCGAGATCACTCGCGATCACCCGAGATCACCCGAGATCACTCGAGATCACTCGTGGTCCAGGCGAAGCTCGAGCTCAAGCTCGAGAAGCTCGTGCCGGGCAAGTGGGAGCGGCTCGAGGGCGACGGCACCGGCGGCGCCACCGCCTTCAACACGGCCGCCGCGTCGGATACGGCGCCGCGGACCGTGTACTCGGTGATCTACGCGCGCACACGACCCTCCACGACTCTTAAAATCGTTGTGAGAACAAGAACCGTCACATCCCTCCTCAGGGCTCGCGGCGCGACTGGGACGCCATTGACCGCGAGGTGACGCGCGCAGAGGAGGAGGAGAAGCCCGAGGGGGAGGAGGCGCTGAACAAGCTCTTCCAGCAGATCTACGGCAACGCGTCCGAGGAGAGCCGCCGCCGCGGCGAGAGAGACACACACACATCCACCATCCACCGTGACAACAATGGGGAGGCGCGGGTCACAAGAGGCAACAAGACGCCAGCAAGACGCCACAACACAACGCTGTCCTCTCGCTCCCAAGAGGCACCGCGTCATAACAACCCCCCCCCCCCCCCCCCGCCGCCTTGAGCTCTTCACACAAGAGCTCCTCACACACCCCGCACGATCACGCACACGGCCAGTCGAGAACAGACGCGGGAGGGCGCAGCCTCTCGGCCGCGTCTGGCGAGCAGCGACACTGCCGAGACACTTCCCGCCCGCCCCGCCTGTGGCTCCTCCCCAACACGCCTGCCGACGCCTCCGCCACCACTCTGCTCGCGCCGCCGCCGCCGCCGCCGCCGCCGCCCTCCGGCCCGCCCGCCGGCCCGCCCGCCCGCTGACACGTCCAACGGCGCGTCCGCAGGAGACACGACGTGCCATGAACACGGTACCCGAACCCACCCTCCCCCTACCCCCACGGTACCCGAATCGTCCGCAGGAGACACGACGTGCGATGAACAAGTCCTTCCAGACGTCGGGCGGCACGGTGCTCTCCCGACACACCTCTTGATACGCTCCCGAGACTGTTCCGCCCAGACCCGTCCTCCCTCGCCACTGCCTCGCTCTGCACATCACGACGTGCACACGACGTGGACGGCGGCGCTGGCGGCGCTGCCCCAAGTCTGCTCTCCACCGAGACACTTCCGAGACACTTCCTCAGGTGCTCTCCACCAACTGGTCCGAGGTCAAGGAGAAGGACTACGAGAAAGAGCGGACGGCGCCCGACGGGCAGGAGTGGAAGAAGTGGGGGTAGGGGCGGAGAGGGCGGGGAGTGCGCTGTGGGAGGCCGATTAGCCGCGACGAGCGCACAGTCCCGCACCTTCTGTGCATGCACTCTCTGGGGTGAGCGGCGAGGCGACCGCTGGCACGGTGCGGGGGCACTCGCAATCATACGCCGGTCGTGGCCCCGGCCGAGCATGCGACCGTCGAGCATGTACGACCCGGCCACAAAAATGCTGCTAGGTGAGGACTGGAGAGACTGGAGGTGCACCAAAAGAAAGATCGCTGAGGGGTGAGATCGCCCCTGGTTTACCAAATATCGCTCTGGCATTGGGGGGAGCGGGAGGCCGGGGGGCGGCCCCCGGTGCCCCCGGTGTGGGAAAAAGGAGCCAGGAAAAAAGAATTTAAACAAGAGAACTCTCTCTCACAGCACACAGGCTCGACACAGGTGCGAACTGGCGCGTGCTAGTACTAGTAGCGTAGTAGGATGAGATTATGAAAAACGCCGGAATTCGGACGAGTACTCTCGCCTGCACAAATTCGATAAGTGGGACAAGGAGGGATGCGTCCCAGGGTCCTGGAGTTTCAGGCGTGCTTTCGCTCCGACTCCTCGGTGACCAAACGACGAGCTGGAGAGCTGGCGACCGAACGCTACCCGAGGCGGCTGGCGGCGATGGACGACCGAGCGGAGACGCAACGAATCGAGGAGCGGCTCCCGCAGGGAACCGACGAGTGGCTCGCGAGACCTCGGCTGTCGACGACTTCGCGAGGAACGATCACGCCGGTGGTGATACTGCAGCCGCTGTCCGCGCCGGTCGGCGACGTGGTGATGTACACCGGGCCGTTGCAGCCGATCGGCTGGCAGCTCCACGGGATAGGCAGGGAGTTCGGCGGCGGGACACAACCTGCGGATGTCGCTGTGGAGGCTGGCGCGATCACACAAGACAAGCGCAGGGTCGACGTCGGGCCGACGCGAGCAAGCAAGTCGAGGCGGATGGATCGGCGCCTCACCAACTGGCAGTGCATCTACTGCCGGCGCGAGACGCGGAACGATGCACGGGCGACGAGTTGCTGGAACTGTGGTGGCGAGAAGGAGCAGCTCCGAGATGCGGACAGTGAAGGGCGCGAGGCGGCACTGAGCTTCGGTCGAAAAAAAACGAAAAAACGACGACACTGCAGGGACGTCCGTCCAAATGCGCGTTTGCGGCTTGCCTGTGCTCTCGGCCGCCTCGCTGAGCGAGACCGAGCGCGGTGCTGGTGGCGCCGACACTGCCGATCCGTCGAGCACTGCGACGGCTGCTCAACCAATGAGAGTCGGCAGCGCTGCCTCTGCGGCTGGTGCGCCTGCACAAACCACGCCAAGCGACTGCAAACTGGGCGCAAACCTGTCTGGCAATGCTCTGGGCGCTTACCTGTTAGGGGGTGGGGAAAGGGGGGGAGACTAGGCACCGCCCCCAGCGCAGGCGACGCAACGACTGGCGCTTGCGGTCGAAAGCGGGAGGGAGCGAACGAAGGCACAGATGGGGGATGGCGAAGGCGTCCAAGGCCGTGCGAGGGCGGCGCCGCCGAGCCAGCAGCGGAGGCTGTGCCCGTGGCGTGGAGGCAGCCCGACGCGCGCGACCCGCTGCAGCCGCGGCCGGACTCCGCCATGCACGTGCTGTCACCTTGTACTGGGTCTGGGACGGCAGCACGGCCGACAACTTAGGGTACCCCTAGGGTTCTGAGGGCCGGATTTTTTTAAGACCTTTTAAGAAATGAGGAGGTTTGGGGCAATCCTTTTTCTTCTATCACCGGCACACCGAAAAAGAATGCGGATCTCGCGCGTTGGCCCCGCAGGCGCGACGCCCTATTTTGACCGACCATCCATCCCCTGAAGTCCCGCTAGTGGCTGACAGCCCTCGCACTTGTGGCGCAGGCTCTCACTCTCCCTCCCTCCCGCCTCTCGGCGGTCCGAGGATGCCGTGGTGGGACAAGCTGGTGAGCGGGCTTGCAGGAACGCCAAGAACGGATGCAACCGAGCCCGCCACCTCCCCTCCTGCCGCCGCTGCGAAGGAGCCCGAGCCCTCCCCGCCGCATGGCTGCGCTTCCGACCGGCTCGCTGGCGTGGCGCCCACACACGGCGCTGGTCCCTCCAACGTCGGGGACGAGGAGTGGTCTGAGCCGCCAGACAGCCCCGGGGCAAGCGGCCGCGCAAGCGGCGGCGCCGAGAGCGGGTGCGACGGCGAAGAGGGTGAAGGCGAGGCGGGCGGCGGCGGCAAATCGGAGGCCGCTGAGGCTGGCGCCGCCCCAAGCACCGGCGACAGCGCCGCTGTTGACGGCGGCGAGCTTGGGGAGGAGGGGGCAGTGAGCGCGCGAGAGCAGGCGCGCTGGAGGAGGGGTGGAGGGAGGAGGGGCTGAGTCGCACTGCACGCTGCCCCTGCCCTCTCTGCACACGGCCCGGCTTCTTCCGGTCGTAGTGCAGGGAGCGCGCGTTCCCTCACCGCCCCGCTTGCGCCCAGGTGCTCTTAAACGCCTCCGACGAGCTCGAGTGCCTCTTTCAGCGCCTCGGCGCCGGCCCTCCCGCCCCGACACGCGGACGAACGCGCACGGACGCACACACGCACGCACACACGCACGCACACGCGACGCGCGTGCGCGACGCGCGCGCACACCACACACATTCAGCACACACTCAGCACACATTCAGCACACATTCAGCACACATTCAGCACACGCGCGCGGCACGCACCACCCCGCCCGCGCCGCACTTGCAAGAAGAGTCGCAAGGCGGGTGAGGGCGCCGCCCCGCGTCCAGGCGCCGACCACTTTTCAGCTCTCGAGTGCGTCTGCTCGGCGTGGCGAACCGCAATCCGCGCGGCACGGTGCCGGCCTCGCGCCACGCCTCCCCTCCCGCAGCCCCGTCCCACTGCCCGCCCCTGATAGAGCCCGTGCAGCACTTGGGACCTGACAGTTCGAGAGATAGGGGAGATACAGGGGAGATACAGGGGAGGTCGGATGTCGGCGCCCTCGGTGCGCGTCGCGGCGAGCAGCCGCTCGTACAACGGCGTCCCCAAGGCCGCGTAGCACCTCGTAGAACGGCGTCCCCAAGGCCGCGTAGCACCTGCGACAGCCTCCCGCCGCGCGTCGACCAATCGCGAGTCACAGCAGAGGGGGGGGCCCGTCGTCCGGAGCACAGGAAGACGCCCGTGCCCAGCAGCGGCTCCCCCCCTCCCACGCCCTGCCCGCCTTCCTGGCTCGCGCGCAGGCTGCTCTGCCACCAGTCGCTGCTCTACCCAAACGAGGCGCACCCGCTGCCGCGCACCCCTGGCGGGCTCCAGTCGCCCACGGCGGTTGCGGTGCTCCCCGGGGGCGAGCTCGCAGTCACGGACACGGTGGGGCGCTCGCACATGTTCACCCCCCCCCCCCACCACCACACACACAAGCACACACACACACACACACACACACACACACACACACACACACACACACACACACACACACACGCACACGCACACGCACACACACACACACACACACACACACACACACACAAGCACACTTGAAGATACGGGTCTTCGCCTCCTCACTGCGCCCCTGCCTGTCCTGACCCTGACCCTACACCCTGACCTCCTCCCGGCTCATTGCGCCGCCCGTAGGGAAACGACCTCCTGCGCTTCATCGACGCCGCGAGCGGCGCGACGAGGCTCGTCGTCGGGCGCAGGCGCGCCTTCCTGTCCTCGAAGCTGCCGCCCGCGACGCCTCATGTGGAGGCTGAGCTCGAGTCGCCGATGGGCGTCGTCGCCGACGTTCGCGGCGAGCACGTCTTTGTCGCCGACACGCTGGGGCACCGGCTCGTCAGCTCTAGAGGCGGGAAGACGTGTTCATGTCCCCCAGCCAGCGCCCGAGAGGGTGTACGTATCCAGCTAAACACCGCTCTGACAGCGCTCACAGCTGTCTTCACCCGTACTTCTCCGCTGATTCACTGTATTCCTCTCCCTCTCCCTCTCCCTCCACCCCTCCCCCCCTCCCCCCCTCACCCCCCCCCCCACTGTATTCTTCTCCGTGGATTCACTGTACTCCTCTCCGTATTCTTCACGCGGTGCTCTGAACACGCGCTGCACAACACCGTCCCCCCGCCCCGAGGCTGGCGTCTTCATCACGTAGGCTCGTGAAGCTGCGAGTCTCGGACGGCGCCTCGCTCGCCTCGGCCACACGTCGACAAGGACGAGAGGCACGGCGAGAGGGCGTGTGCTCTTTGCTCTAGGCGCCGAGCTCGCCTCCATCGGCGCGCACGGGACGGGACCCGGCCAGATGATTTTCCCGCAGGGGGTGGCCGTCGCTCACGCGCCGGCCGAGCTGCACGGTGCGGGGACGGCGGGCGAGCTGGTCTACATCTGCGACACGGAGAACGACAGGCCCCCGCCCGCGCCGTGACGAGCAGGTGAGCGAGCAGAGCCAGGGAGCCAGGCGTGAGGGGCTCGGTGGCAAGCCAGCGGTACACGGCTCGAAACGCCTCCTCGCGAACGAGAGGCCGGTTCATGTCGGCAGCGCATGCACGAGATAATGAGAGGGGACTCCATTCGCGGTCGCCACTGAACGCTCCGCACCCCTCACCGCCTGCGCCCGACCTGCTCAGCAGCTCGGCTAGGGCCGAGATGCCGTCGCCCGCTGCGGCGCCGTCGATTCGGATGGCGTTGAGGTCGACAGGGCGCAGCGTTGCGTCGAGAGCCTGGAATGGGTCAGGAGGGAGAGCTCAGTGTCTCGACCGCAAGCGCAAGCCAGCGCGTCCGACCCTCATCTATCGCCAACAAGCAAGGCCTTCTTCGACGTGCATTGCTCGCGCGCATCTAGAGCTTCACCGAT